GCACCAGCATGACGCGAAATATGAACTAAGCTGGCAGACAGCATGGGCTGTCTGTGCAGACAGTACAGGCTGTCTACATTACCCCTCCACCGCCAGTATATAAGCTTTGCGCCTATATATTGGGATCAGGTAAGGGACATGTAGCAGACGAAGATATTGTCACTGGTAGGCAGGATTCCCAGTGGAAGCCATTCCCGAGGGACGGGCCAGTAGTGAAGAAGGTTGTGGAGATGACCTCTGTACCAAGATTCCATGATGTTGCAGTGTCTGACGAGCTGCTGCACCTCCCTCATCTGACGACAGTATATAAGCCCCAGTCGTCATGGCTGTGCTCACACTCTTCAAGACTACGGTGCTCTCCACACCAACTTGAGGGACTGATTACCTCAATTTTTGTATATAGTTTTACTGTCTTCCAATTATATGTCCTTGAATTTGTATTGATAAAGTCACTAGGATGGCGAAACGTCTACAATAAAGATACCCAGATGTTGCACATGTGTCTAATTCTTCACAACACCTTATTACTGAAAATAATAAGCTTAGCAATAATAATAAGCCTAGCAATAATAATAACCCTAGCAATAATAATAACCCTAGCAATAATAATAACCCTAGCAATAATAACCCTAGCAATAATAATAACCCTAGCAATAATAATAAGCCTAGCAATAATAATAACCCTAGCAATAATAACCCTAGCAATAATAATAACCCTAGCAATAATAATAACCCTAGCAATAATAAGCCTAGCAATAATAATAAGCCTAGCAATAATAATAAGCCTAGCAATAATAATAAGCCTAGCAATAATAAGCCTAGCAATAATAATAAGCCTAGCAATAATAACCCTAGCAATAATAATAAGCCTAGCAATAATAACCCTAGCAATAATAATAAGCCTAGCAATAATAAGCCTAGCAATAATAATAACCCTAGCAATAATAAGAAGCTTGACACATGGAGGATCGAACCTTCAATAAAACAACATTGAACCTTCCTAATGTACTTTATTGAACCTCAACATATCTCACAGTAAATCTTATCAATAATATCGGTCAATATCGCCCAGCGATATTTAAATGAGAGAGAGATACAGTGTATCCTGGTATACATTGATACCTGGGATATAGCTGTGTCAGTAGCAGGGTTAGACGAAGATATTCACGGTATATACTCTGTGTATATATGAAAGTACCGTAGCTGTAGTTAATTTTAGAAAGTACCGTAGCTGTAGTTAAGTTTAGAAAGTATCGTAGCTGTAGTTAAGTTTAGAAAGTACCGTAGCTGTAGTTAAGTTTAGAAAGTACCGTAGCTGTAGTTAAGGGGAGCTGTAAATCATGGAAGGCTCGCTTGGTCACTTGGGAACGAGGGGAAGGGTAGGGGATCAAGATCACTTCAGCAACATCAAGATCCCTTCTTGAAGGGGATCAAGACCACTAACATCAACGGCTCTTGAAGAGGATTTACGACTGTCAAATAAGATTAAAATAACTTAATTTCACAGGCTAATTTGAACTTTCATAAAAGAAAGTTCTGTTAAGTATCAGGAAAAAGAATTTTTGGGGGGGCCCCTTTCCCTTTTTAAATTACGATTTTCCCGGCCCCCCGCTTCCCAGGCCTGCAAATAAAAACCCCCCCCACCCCCTTTCCCCCCCCCTTTCCCTGAAAATCCCCCCCCCAAAAACCCCCCCCCCCTAAAAAACCCCCAAAACCCCTTTAAAAAACCCCCCCCTTTCCCTTTAAAACCCAAAAACCCACCCCCCGAAAATTTCCCCCCCCCCCCCCCTCCCTTAACCTCTTCCCCCATTTCCCCGGGGTTCCCCCCCCCGGGGCCGGGTTTTCCAAATTAACCCCAATAATTGGGTTAATAGCCTAAAATTACCCCAAAACCGGGCAAGGCCCGCTAAAACCCCAACAATAAACCCAGCAAAAAACCCTTAGCTATTAAACCACCAATAATCCCTTTACAAATGAATAATGGGCCAGCAATATAATTAACCCTTTTTCCTTTTATAATTCCCGAATTACCGGCATTCCTAGCAGCCTCAACAAAACCCCCAAGCATAAGGCCAAAGAAAACCCCGCAAATACCCAGCAATAAATACGCAAAAATCCCGCAACCAGCAAATAAACCGGCAAAAGAAGCTTCACAGGAGGACACTCCTAATACAACATAATAACTTCCAATACTTTATGTAAGCCTACATACTCACAGTAAATCTTGACAATAATAGCAATTCGCCGCAGCGATATTAAATGGAGAGAATGTACCCTGTACATAATACCTCGTTAGCAGTGTCATAGCGCGTAGCGAAATTCAGTATTACCGTGATTAAGCTAATAGGGAGCTGGTCAATTCGAAGGGCTCCTCACGGGAACTGGGCTGAGTCAGGGATCAATCACTTCAGCCAATCAAGTCCCTTCATTGAAGGGATAAGACCTAGCATCAAGGCTCTAGAGATTTACGAACTGTCAATAACTTATTACAAATAATAATCCCTAGCCATAAAAATAAGCCTAGCTTCAATAAACCCGGGAAAATAATAATAATTCTAGCATTGCCTCTAGCAATTCTCTTAGTTATTTAATAAATTTTAGAAATTACCGTAGCTGATATAATAGAAAGCCATACTGAACTTTAAAGTAACCGTAGCGAAATTAAGTTAGAAAATCAAGCTAGTTAATTTTAAATACCTAACAGTATAATAAGTTAAAATACCATAGCTGAAATAATATGTAAATAGTAGCTGAGTAAGTTATAAAGTACCTAGCGTAGTAAATTTAGAAAGTATAGCTGTAGTCAATTAGAAGTACGTAGCGTAGTATATTAGAAAGAACCGTAGCGTAGTAATTAGAAATACCGTAGCTGTAGAAGTTTAGAAAGTACATAGCTGTAGTTAAGTTTAGAAAGTACCGAAAGCTGTAGTTAAGTTTGAAAGTACTGTAGTCTGTAGTTAAGTAATAGAAAGTACCGTAGCTGTATTTAAAATGTTATAGAAGTACATACTGTGTTAACATTAAAAGTACCAGAAAGCTGTAGTTAAGTGTTAGAAAGTACCGTATACCTGTGTTAAGTTTAGAAAGTACCATAGCTGTAGTTAAGTTTAGAAAGTACTGTAGCTGTAGTTAAGTTTAGAAAGTACAAGCTGTATTAAGTTTAGAAAGTCCCGTAGCTGTAGTTAAGTTTAGAAAGTACTGTAGCTGTAGTTAGTTAAATAAAGTCGTAGCTGTAGAAGTGAAAGAAAGTACCATGCTATTAATTAGAAAGTCCTTACTGTGAAGTTAAAGTACCAAGCTAAGTTAAGTTTAGAAAGTACTTAGCTGTATTTAAGTTTAGAAAGTACAGTAGCTGTAGTTAAGTAGAAAGTACCAAGCTGTAGTTAAGATTAGAAAGTAACCGTACTGTAATTAAGTTAGAAATACTGTAGCTGTAGTTAAGTTTAGAAAGTACCGTAGCTGTAGTTAAGTTTAGAAAGTACCATAGCTGTAGTTAAGTTTAGAAAGTACCATAGCTGTAGTTAAGTTTAGAAGTACGAAGCTGTAGTTAAGTTTAGAAAGTACCGTAGCTGTATTAAGTTTAGAAAGTACGTAGCTGTAGTTAAGTTTAGAAAGTACCGTAGCTGTAGTTAAGTTTAGAAAGTACTGTAGCTGTAGTTAATTTTTAGAAAGTACCGTAGCTGAAATTAAGTTTAGAAAGTACCGTAGCTGTAGTTAAGTTTAGAAAGTACCGTAGCTGTAGTTAGGTTTAGAAAGTACCGTAGCTGTAGTTAATTTAGAAAGTACCGTAGCTGTAGTTAAGTTTAGAAAGTACCGTAGCTGTAGTTAAGTTTAGAAAGTACCGTAGCTGTAGTTAAGTTTAGAAAGTACCATAGCCGTAGTTAAGTTTAGAAAGTACCGTAGCTGTAGTTAAGTTTAGAAAGTACTGTAGCTGTAGTTAAGTTTAGAAAGTACCATAGCTGTAGTTAAGTTTAGAAAGTACCATAGCTGTAGTTAAGTTTAGAAAGTACCATAGCTGTAGTTAAGTTTAGAAAGTACCGTAGCTGTAGTTAAGTTTAGAAAGTACCGTAGCTGTAGTTAAGTTTAGAAAGTACTGTAGCTGTAGTTAAGTTTAGAAAGTACCATAGCTGTAGTTAAGTTTAGAAAGTACTGTAGCTGTAGTTAAGTTTAGAAAGTACCGTAGCTGTAGTTAAGTTTAGAAATACCATAGCTGTAGTTTAAGTTTAGAAAGTACCATAGCTGTAGTTAGTTTAGAAAGTACCGTAGCTGTAGTTAAGTTTAGAAAGTACCGTAGCTGTAGTTAAGTTTAGAAAGTACCGTAGCTGTAGTTAAGTTTAGAAAGTACCGTAGCTGTAGTTAAGTTTAGAAAGTACCGTAGCTGTAGTTAAGTTTAGAAAGTACCATAGCTGTAAAGTTTAGAAAGTACCGTAGCTGTAGTTAAGTTTAGAAAGTACCGTAGCTGTAGTTAAGTTTAGAAAGTACTGTAGCTGTAGTTAAGTTTAGAAAGTACCATAGCTGTAGTTAAGTTTAGAAAGTACTGTAGCTGTAGTTAAGTTTAGAAAGTACCATAGCCGTAGTTAAGTTTAGAAAGTACGTAGCAGTAGTTAAGTTTAGAAAGTACCGTAGCTGTAGTTAAGTTTAGAAAGTACTGTAACTGTAGTTAAGTTTAGAAAGTACCATAGCTGTAGTTAAGTTTAGAAAGTACCATAGCTGTAAAGTTTAGAAAGTACCGTAGCTGTAGTTAAGTTTAGAAAGTACCATAGCTGTAGTTTAAGTTTTAGAAATACTGTAGCTGTAGTTAAGTTTAGAAAGTACCAGTAGCTGTAGTTAAGTTTAGAAAGTACCGTAGCTGTAGTTAATTTTAGAAAGTACCGTAGCTGTAGTTAAGTTTAGAAAGTACCGTAGCTGTAGTTAAGTTTAGAAAGTACCTAGCAATAGTTAAGTGTTAGAAAGTACCATAGCTTAGTTAAGTTTAGAAAGTACCGTAGCTATAGTTAATTTTAGAAAGTACCGTAGCTGTAGTTAATTTTAGAAAGTACCGTAGCTGTAGTTAAGTTTAGAAAGTACCGTAGCTGTAGTTAAGTTTAGAAAGTACCGTAGCTGTAGTTAAGTTTAGAAAGTACCGTAGCTGTAGTTAAGTTTAGAAAGTACCGTAGCTGTAGTTAAGTACCATATACTATGGTTGTAACTGTAATCTTATTTTTTAACGGGGTGAAGGGGTAGGCCAGTGGAAGGTCACAGCCAGATGACCACAAACTCCAGCTGCGGGGTCATGTGACTAGACCATTGTCATGAAACACTTGTCCTGTTTCCTGACTAACCTAACCTAACCTGTTGTTAAATTTAGAAAGCAGTTTCAGCGGCTTGTACCGTCTGGTCTACTCGGCCTGGTTATATCTGAAGTGGTATTTGTCGAGTGATTGATAGACCAAGATCTTTTGGTCGATTTGTCGATGTATAAGTGGACCCACCACGGCAGCTGATTTGTTGTGGCTGTCGAGTGTGTTGGTGGAAGACTGTGTGTTAGCTGTCAGTATCTCCAGGATGTTCTTGATAGCTGTTGAAAACTGTTATTTCGTGTCATGCTACGACCCTGTTTACCCTCGGTGTCACACTACGACCCTGTCTTACCTTGATGCCACACTACGACTCCATCATCCTTCAGTGTCACACTACGACTCTGTCTTTCTTCATTGTCATACTACGACCCTATCTTCAGTGTCGCATTACGACCATATCTTCCTCTGGAACCACCTCACTCTCCCCTTGTGTCGTCCCACTACGACTGCCTACATCCAGTCGGAGGCTGGTCGTCTGTCTCCATTCTCTCGTCGTTGTAGGCGTTTTCAGACCCACCTTCACCTCCTCCTCCCGGAGGCTGCTCCAGGGGCAGCATGTTGACCAGCTCTTCCTCCCCTGTCAGCTCCTGGGTCTTGGGTGGACGGGGAAACATCGCCTCGAATTCAGAGATGAAGTCACTGTCTACCGTGTCTGGGAACTCGATCTGAAAGAATCGTGGCCAAGATTGATCTTAGGGTTGTGTGAGGTTGAAGCGACTGTACCGTGTCTGGTGGTCAAGATTGATCTTAGGGTTGTGTGAGGTTGAAACGACTGTACCGTGTCTGGTGGTCAAGATCGATCTTAGGGTTGTGTGAGGTTGAAGCGACTGTACCGTGTCTGGTGGTCAAGATCGATCTTAGGGTTGTGCGAGGTTGAAGCGACTGTACCGTGTCTGGTGGTCAAGATTGATCTTAGGGTTGTGTGAGGTTGAAACGACTCTACCGTGTCTAGTGGTCAAGATCGATCTTAGGGTTGTGTGAGGTTGAAACGACTGTACCGTGTCTAGTGGTCAAGATTGATCTTAGGGTTGTGTGAGGTTGAAGCAACTGTACCGTGTCTAGTGGTCAAGATCGATCTTAGGGTTGTGTGAGGTTGAAACGACTCTACCGTGTCTAGTGGTCAAGATCGATCTTAGGGTTGTGTGAGGTTGAAACGACTGTACCGTGTCTAGTGGTCAAGATCGATCTTAGGGTTGTGTGAGGTTGAAACGACTGTACCGTGTCTAGGGGTCAAGATTGATCTTAGGGTTGTGTGAGGTTGAAGCGACTGTACCGTGTCTAGTGGTCAAGATCGATCTTAGGGTTGTGTGAGGTTTGAAACGACTGTACCGTGTCTAGTGGTCAAGATTGATCTTAGGGTTGTGTGAGGTTGAAGCGACTGTACCGTGTCTGGTGGTCAAGATTGATCTTAGGGTTGTGTGAGGTTGAAACGACTGTACCGTCTCGGGTGGTCAAGATTGATCTTAGGGTTGTGTGAGGTTGAAACGACTGTATTGTGTCTGGTGGTCAAGATTGATCTTAGGGTTGTGCGAGGTTGAAACGACTGTACCGTCTCGGGTGGTCAAGATTGATCTTAGGGTTGTGTGAGGTTGAAACGACTGTACCGTGTCTGGTGGTCAAGATTGATCTTAGGGTTGTGTGAGGTTGAAACGACTCTACCGTGTCTAGTGGTCAAGATCGATCTTAGGGTTGTGTGAGGTTGAAACGACTGTACCGTGTCTAGTGGTCAAGATTGATCTTAGGGTTGTGTGAGGTTGAAGCAACTGTACCGTGTCTAGTGGTCAAGATCGATCTTAGGGTTGTGTGAGGTTGAAACGACTCTACCGTGTCTAGTGGTCAAGATCGATCTTAGGGTTGTGTGAGGTTGAAACGACTGTACCGTGTCTAGTGGTCAAGATCGATCTTAGGGTTGTGTGAGGTTGAAACGACTGTACCCTGTCTAGTGGTCAAGATCGATCTTAGGGTTGTGTGAGGTTGAAACGACTGTACCGTGTCTAGTGGTCAAGATCGATCTTAGGGTTGTGTGAGGTTGAAACGACTGTACCGTGTCTAGTGGTCAAGATTGATCTTAGGGTTGTGTGAGGTTGAAGCGACTGTACCGTGTCTAGTGGTCAAGATCGATCTTAGGGTTGTGTGAGGTTGAAACGACTGTACCGTGTCTAGTGGTCAAGATTGATCTTAGGGTTGTGTGAGGTTGAAGCGACTGTACCGTGTCTGGTGGTCAAGATTGATCTTAGGGTTGTGTGAGGTTGAAACGACTGTACCGTCTCGGGTGGTCAAGATTGATCTTAGGGTTGTGTGAGGTTGAAACGACTGTATTGTGTCTGGTGGTCAAGATTGATCTTAGGGTTGTGCGAGGTTGAAACGACTGTACCGTCTCGGGTGGTCAAGATTGATCTTAGGGTTGTGTGAGGTTGAAACGACTGTACCGTGTCTGGTGGTCAAGATTGATCTTAGGGTTGTGCGAAGTTGAAGCGACTGTACCGTCTCGGGTGGTCAAGATTGATCTTAGGGTTGTGCGAGGTTGAAACGACTGTACCGTCTCGGGTGGTCAAGATTGATCTTAGGGTTGTGCGAGGTTGAAACGACTGTACCGTCTCGGGTGGTCAAGATTGATCTTAGGGTTGTGTGAGGTTGAAACGACTGTACCGTCTCGGGTGGTCAAGATTGATCTTAGGGTTGTGTGAGGTTGAAACGACTGCACCGTGTCTAGTGGTCAAGATCGATCTTAGGGTTGTGTGAGGTTGAAACGACTGTACCGTGTCTAGTGGTCAAGATTGATCTTAGGGGTGTGTGAGGTTGAAGCGACTGTACCGTGTCTAGTGGTCAAGATCGATCTTAGGGTTGTGTGAGGTTGAAACGACTGTACCGTGTCTAGTGGTCAAGATTGATCTTAGGGTTGTGTGAGGTTGAAGCGACTGTACCGTGTTTGGTGGTCAAGATTGATCTTATTGTTGTGTGAGGTTGAAACGACTGTACCGTCTCGGGTGGTCAAGATTGATCTTAGGGTTGTGTGAGGTTGAAACGACTGTATTGTGTCTGGTGGTCAAGATTGATCTTAGGGTTGTGCGAGGTTGAAACGACTGTACCGTCTCGGGTGGTCAAGATTGATCTTAGGGTTGTGTGAGGTTGAAACGACTGTATTGTGTCTGGTGGTCAAGATTGATCTTAGGGTTGTGCGAGGTTGAAACGACTGTACCGTCTCGGGTGTTCAAGATTGATCTTAGGGTTGTGCGAGGTTGAAACGACTGTACCGTCTCGGGTGTTCAAGATTGATCTTAGGGTTGTGCGAGGTTGAAACGACTGTACCGTCTCGGGTGGTCAAGATTGATCTTAGGGTTGTGTGAGGTTGTGGGTGGTACTTACAGCATAATGTATGATACCACACTCACAACTCAGACCACGTCTGAAGCCTGGACTCACAATTCCTAACACACCTGAGCCCAAACGCTAATAATTCAGCACAAAGTCCTTCACCATAACACATTTATGTGACTCTTGTTACTCTTCTTCCTAAGAGATGTTTAAAGAACTTTTATAAGAAGGTTGGGGAACTTTTGAAGGGTAGGAGAACTTTTAATAGAAGCTTAGGGAACTTTTGAAAGAAGGTTGGAGAACTTTCAAGATAAGGTTAGGGAATTTTTGAAAGGTTATAGAACTTTTAAGGCAAGGTTAGGGACCTTTTAAAAGGTTAGAGCTTTTGAAGGAAGGTTACAGAACAGAAGGAAGGTTAGGGAACTTTTAAAAAAGAAGCTTAGGGAACTTTCAAAGCGAAGCCTAGGGAACTTTCAAAGCGAAGCCTAGGGAACTTTTAAAAAGAAGCCTAGGGAACTTTCAAAGTGAAGCCTAGGAACTTTCAAAGCGAAGCCTAGGGAACTTTCAAAGCGAAGCCTAAGGAACTTTCAAAGTGAAGCCTAGGGAACTTTCAAAGTGAAGCCTAAGGAACTTTCAAAGCGAAACCTAGGGAACTTTCAAAGTGAAGCCTAAGGAACTTTCAAAGCGAAACCTAGGGAACTTTCAAAGTGAAGCCTAGGGAACTTTCAAAGCGAAGCCTAAGGAACTTTCAAAGCGAAGCCTAGGGAACTTTCAAAGTGAAGCCTAGGGAACTTTCAAAGTGAAGCCTAGGGAACTTTCAAAGTGAAGCCTAAGGAACTTTCAAAGCGAAGCCTAGGGAACTTTTAAAAAGAAGCCTAGGGAACTTTCAAAGTGAAGCCTAGGGAACTTTCAAAGCGAAGCCTAGGGAACTTTCAAAGCGAAGCCTAGGGAACTTTCAAAGCGAAGCCTAGGGAACTTTTAAAAAGAAGCCTAGGCAATTTTTAGAGGCCTTGGGAACTTTCAAGACAAAGTTAAGGAACTTACCGTGAACTTAATGAAGAGATCTCCCCTAACATAAGGGTTCCTGCAGAGAGGCAGTCCCTCAGCCTCCACCATCATCTCACATCCTGGCTCCACAGCCTGCGAGAAACACTTGTATTAAAACATGCGCAACACCTGCGCCTGTAGTCGAAACGTTGCACCAGGCTTCTGATGTCGACCACAGGTGAATAAAGACAAAGAGCGAGACGTTTCGACAATAAAGTTAGCCAGGTGTTGCACATGTGTCTTATTGTTAAACATCTGTAGTGTGTGAAACATCTGTACCGAGTGAAACAACTCTAGTGGGTGAAACATCTGTACAGAGTGAAACGTTCGGGGTCAACACACACACACACACACACGGGGCCAAGAGCTAGGACTCGACCCCTGCAACCTCAGCTAGGCGAGTACACACACACACACACTAGGTGTACTAGGTGAGTACACACCAGGCCAGGAGCTGTGACTCGACCCCTGCAGCCACAATTAGGTGAGTACACACACACACACACACACACACACACACACACACACACTAGGTGTACTAGGTGACTACACACCAGACCAGGAGCTGTGACTCGACCCCTGCGACCACAATTAGGTGAGTACACACACACACACACTAGGTGTACTAGGTGAGTACACACCAGGCCAGGAGCTGTGAATCGACCCCTGCAACCTTAGCTAGGTGAGTACAACTAGGTGAGTACACACACACACACACACACACACACACACACACACACACACTAGGTGTACTAGGTGAGTACACACCAGGTCAGGAGCTGTGAATCGACCCCTACAACCTTAACTAGGTGAGTACACACACACACACACACACACCAGTGAAGAGGCGAGGCCAGGAGCTATGAATCGACCCATGCAACCATATATAGGTGAATACATAGAGAGAGAGGGAGAGGTGTCGTCTACTGACCCAGGGTTAGACCAGGTATGTTTGTCGACACCGTGCACTGACCTTTCCTTCTGGTTTGGTGACAGTGAGTGTTCTACCGTCCAGGGTGGTGACGGTACGACGGAACCCACAGAGTGACTCCGTCAGTGTGACCTGTCAAAGAGTCGAGAGTTAGACAGGAGTGAGAGCAAACTCTCAGGAGAGACACAGCCCCTTTCTTGTCACCTTAAAAGAATGTGGAAGAGATAAGAGTGAGAGAAGGGTATCTGAAAGTTGCCCCCGGGAGGGGGGTCAATGCCTGGCCGACCAGGTTGTTACTGCTGGTCACACGCAGTCCCTTTCTGACAGGGGAAATCTCTGGCAGAAAGGGGGCATCCAAGCCCCTTTCTGACAGTCTTGATGAACGGGGACCTACTCTGCTCTCTTGAAATATCTATAACTAATCATCACTGTTTAAGTCTGGTTCAACTGTTTGTTTTTTACAGGATAATGAATTAGATACTTAAGCAACACTGGGTATCTTTTGTGTGGAAACAGTTCACCAACCCGTGGCTTCCTCAGTCCAGTACAGAGAAGAATGGTTGAATATCAGGAGTTTGATTTAATCAGTCCCTCAGCCTTGTCTGCGATATATCATCAGTCCCTCAGCCTTGTCTGCGATATATCATCAGTCCCTCAGCCTTGTCTGCGGTACTTAATCAGTCCCTCAGCATTGTCTGTGGTATTTAGTCAGTCCCTCAGCCTTGTCTGCGGTATTTAATCAGTCCCTCAGCCTTGTCTGCGGTATTTAATCAGTACCTCAGCCTTGTCTGCGGTATTTAATCAGTCCCTCAGCCTTGTCTGTGGTATTTAATCAGTACCTCAGCCTTGTCTGCGGTATTTAATCAGTACCTCAGCCTTGTCTGCGGTATTTAATCAGTCCCTCAGCCTTGTCTGCGGTATTTAATCAGTCCCTCAGCCTTGTCTGTGGTATTTAATCAGTACCTCAGCCTTGTCTGCGGTATTTAATCAGTCCCTCAGCCTTGTCTGCGGTATTTAACCAGTCCCTCAGCCTTGTCTGCGGTATTTAATCAGTCCCTCAGCCTTGTCTGTGGTATTTAATCAGTCCCTCAGCCTTGTCTGCGGTATTTAATCAGTCCCTCAGCCTTGTCTGTGGTATTTAATCAGTCCCTCAGCCTTGTCTGCGGTATTTAATCAGTCCCTCAGCCTTGTCTGTGGTATTTAATCAGTCCCTCAGCCTTGTCTGCGGTATTTAATCAGTCCCTCAGCCTTGTCTGCGGTATTTAATCAGTCCCTCAGCCTTGTCTGTGGTATTTAATCAGTCCCTCAGCCTTGTCTGTGGTATTTAATCAGTCCCTCAGCCTTGTCTGCGGTATTTAATCAGTCCCTCAGCCTTGTCTGCGATATTTCATCAGTCCCTCAGCCTTGTCTGCGGTATTTAATCAGTCCCTCAGCCTTGTCTGTGGTATTTAATGAGTCCCTCAGCCTTGACTGCGGTATTTAATCAGTCCCTCAGCCTTGACTGCGGTATATAAGCTCCATCTCATCGCATGTTGCTGGACTGATAATATCGACTCCAGGCTGGGGGACTGATTACTTCAAACTCCGTCAGATCTTCAATCATTTTTCTCTGTATTAGACTGAGGAAGCCACTAGTTGGCGGAAGATTAAAGATACGCAAGTGTTGCACAAGTGTCTAATTTATGATCCTGTCTGTTCTCTTCAACTGTTTACCTACATTAACGGGACGCTTAACGGTAACAGTAACAGAAACGGTAACAGTTGTCTGTTATTTTAGAGATCCTAGCCATTCCATAAGCAAGTTATGTCTGAAAACAAATAAGAATTCCTACAAGTAAGTGGCCCGGTGGCCTGGTGGCTAAAGCTCCCGCTTCACACACGGAGGACCCGGGTTCGATTCCCGGCGGGTGGAAACATTCGACACGTTTCCTTACACCTGTTGTCCTGTTCACCTAGCAGCAAATAGGTACCTGGGTGTTAGTCGACTGGTGTGGGTCGCATCCTGGGGGACAAGATTAAGGACCACAATGGAAATAAGTTAGACAGTCCTCGATGACGCACTGACTTTCTTGGGTTATCCTGGGTGGCTAACCCTCCGGGGTTAAAAATCCGAACGAAATCTTATCTTATCTGACACAACTTATACAGACCATAACTGACATCAGTGACATACTACAATATAGAAAGTCCCTGGTTATGCAGAGCATTTGTGGCAACTTAGATTATCTTGTCCACAGGATGCCACCCACAACAGTCGGCTAACACCCAGGTACCAACTTACTGCTTGGTGAACATGGACAGCAGGTGTCTTAAGGAAACACGTCCCAATGTTTCTACCCGTACCGGGCATCGAACCACGGACCTCAGTGTTTGAGTCGAGTGCGCTACCAACCGAGCTACAAGACACCATCTTCTAGACTTCACAGACTTAAAGGCTAGAGCCTGACTAGAGAGCCTTGTGCTTTACTACACTTGTCTCGTACATAAATAATACATTTGTAATTATTTAGGTAGTAGATGGTTATTCTGGGTGTGGACTCCCAAGTACTCCGTTATCTGTTAGGTATAAGGGTGTAACTATTGTGATAATATTTTATTGTGGGAACGTTTCGCTCTCCAGGAGCTTTATCAAGCCTTTACAAAGCTCTTAGAGAGCGAAACGTTGCCACAATAAAATGTCACATTAATTTATGTGTGTCCTTTTACTCAACACATTGTCGGTAATTCTACCGTTATTAGTACTCTGTTATTTGTCGTTCTCGTGTACTCTCAAATGACCTTTGACCCTGAGCTGACCTTCATCTCCATGTGGAGGTCAATCCCCCTCCTGACGAAGGTGTAGTGGGGCTTCTCCTGCAGGATAATGACCACGTCCCCAGCTTCCTGGCCAGGATCCTGGTCACCCTCTCCTTTGAGAGTGATCCTGGTGCCGTTGCTCATGCCCCTCTCAACGTGTACCTGTAAAACCAGGTCATAACAGGTTACAGGACACCCTTGGAAAAGTCTAATCTGAGGTTAGCCAAGAATACGTTACGTGATGTTTATTGCAAGCTTCTGATGATGTGTTGATTGCAATACGAAAGGCCTAGAGGCATCATTCAACTCTCCCTGTGGTTGCTTTGCATATATGCATATATATATATATATATATGTGTGTGTGTGTGTGTGTGTGTGAAATAAGAGAGAGCCCGTGACGTGGTTAAAGACTGGTAGGGATCTGACATTGAAGTTGCAAGGTGAAGCCAGCCCAGTCGGGCTCATTGGCTTGTCTTGTGATGTGAGGGGAAATGAAGATTGTCTTATAGTTGGGACTGAAGGTGGGGAGGGGTACTGAAGGTGGGGAAGGGGTACTGAAGGTGGGGGGAGGGGTACTGAATGTGGGGAAGGGGTACTGAAGGTGGGGAGGGGTACTGAAGGTGGGGAAGGGGTACTGAAGGTGGGGAGGGGTACTGAAGGTGGGGAGGGGTACTGAATGTGGGGAAGGGGTACTGAAGGTGGGGAGGGGTACTGAAGGTGGGGAGGGGGTACTGAAGGTGGAGGGGAGGGAGGAGATCTCGCTGTCTTACTGGTATTTGTAGATGTGTCTAATTTATCTTACTGGTATTGTCGAGGAAGTATGTGTGTGTGTGTGTGTGTACTCACCTAGTTCTCACCTAGTTGAGGTTGCAGGGGTCGAGTCCAAGCTCCTGGCCCCGCCTCTTCACTGGTCGCTACTAGGTCACTCTCCCTGAACCATGAGCTTTATCGTACCTCTGCTTAAAGCTATGTATGGATCCTGACTCCACTACATCGCTTCCCAAACTATTCCACTTCCTGACTACTCTGTGGCTGAAGAAATACTTCCTAACATCCCTTTGATTCATCTGTGTCTTCAACTTCCAACTGTGTCCCCTTGTTACTGTGTCCAGTCTCTGGAACATCCTGTCTTTGTCCACCTTGTCAATTCCTCTCAGTATTTTGTAAGTCGTTATCATGTCCCCCCTATCTCTCCTGTCCTCCAGTGTCGTCAGGTTGATTTCCCTTAACCTCTCCTCATAGGACATACCTCTTAGCTCTGGGACTAGTCTTGTTGCAAACCTTTGCACTTTCTCTAGTTTCTTTACATGCTTGGCTAGGTGTGGGTTCCAAACTGGTGCCGCATACTCCAATATGGGCCTAACGTACACGGTGTACAGGGTCCTGAACGATTCCTTATTAAGATGTCGGAATGCTGTTCTGAGGTTTGCCAGGCGCCCATATGCTGCAGCAGTTATTTGGTTGATGTGCGCTTCAGGAGATGTGCCTGGTGTTATACTCACCCAAGATCTTTTTCCTTGAGTGATGTTTGTAGTCTCTGACCCCTAGACTGTACTCCATCTGCGGTCTTCTTTGCCCTTCCCCAATCCTCATGACTTTGCACTTGGTGGGATTGAACTCCAGGAGCCAGTTGCTGGACCAGGTCTGCAGCCTGTCCAGATCCCTTTGTATTTTGCCTGGTCTTCGATCGAATGAACTTTCTCTCAACTTCACGTCATCTGCAAACAGTGTTTTTACATAAGAACATAAGAAAGGAGGAACACTGCAGCAGGCCTGTTGGCCCATACTAGGCAGGTCCTTTACAATTCATCCCACTAACAAACATTTGACAACCCAACTTTCAATGCCACCCAAGAAACAAGCTCCGATGTGCAAGTCCCACTCAAATCCAACCCCTCCCACTCATGTACTTATCCAACCTAAATTTGAAACTACCCAAAGTCCTAGCCTCAATAACCCAACTAGGTAGACTGTTCCACTCATCAACTACCCTATTTCCAAACCAATACTTTCCTATGTCCTTTCTAAATCTAAACTTATCTAATTTAAATCCATTACTGCGGGTTCTCTCTTGGAGGGGATATCCTCAAGACCTTGTTAATATCCCCTTTATTAATACCTATCTTCCACTTATACACTTCGATCAGGTCTCCCCTCATTCTTCGTCTAACAAGTGAATGTAACTTAAGAGTCTTCAATCTTTCTTCATAAGGAAGATTTCTAATGCTATGTATTAATTTAGTCATCCTACGCTGAATGTTTTCTAACGAATTTATGTCCATTCTGTAATATGGAGACCAGAATTGAGCTGCATAATCTAGGTGAGGCCTTACTAATGATGTATAAAGCTGCAGTATGACCTCTGGACTTCTGTTGCTTACACTTCTTGATATAAATCCCAGTAATCTATTTGCCTTATTACGTACGCTTAGGCATTGCTGTCTTGGTTTAAGGTTGCTGCTTACCATAACCCCCAAGTCCTTTTCGCAATCTGTATGGCTAAATTCTACATTATTTAACTTACAAGTGCTAGGGTTATGGACACTCCCGAGCTTCAGAACCTTGCATTTATCTACATTGAACTGCATCTGCTACTTTTCTGACCAAGAGTAGAGTTTGTCTAAATCCTCCTGAAGTTCCCTAACATCTACGTTTGAATCAATTATCCTACCTATCTTCGTGTCATCGGCGAATTTGTTCATATCACTAGTAATTTCTTCATCAAGATCATTGATATATATTATAAACAACAACGGGCCCAAGACTGATCCCTGTGGAACGCCACTTGTTACTGATCCCCACTCGGATTTAACCCCATTTATGGACACTCTCTGCTTCCTGTCAGTGAGCCATGATTCGATCCACGAGAGCACTCTTCCCCCAATGCCATGAGCTGCTACTTTCTTCAACAGTCTTTGGTGCGGAACACTATCAAATGCCTTACTAAAATCTAAGTAAATAATATCAAATTCTTTATCGTGGTCAACAGCCTCAAAAGCTTTACTGAAGAAAGCTAATAAATTAGTTAGACAAGACCGGCCTCTTGTGAATCCATGCTGAGTATCATTAATCAAGCTATGCTTATCGAGATGGCTTATAATTTGAGCTATAATTGACTAGTAATTTGCCTACAATTGAGGTCAGGCTTATTGGGCGGTAATTTGACGGTAACGACTTGTCCCCTGTTTTAAAAATAGGAATTACATTAGCCATCTTCCATATATCAGACACTACACCTGTTTGAAGAGATAAATTAAAAATATTAGTTAATGGTTCACAGACTTCCATTTTGCATTCCTTTAGAACCCCTGAAAAAACCTCATCAGGACCCGGTGACTTATTTTGCTTCAGTTGGTCTATCTGCTTCACTACCATTTCACTAGTGACTGTGATGTTACATAATTTATCTTCTTCTGGCCCACTATAAAAATTAATTACCGGAATATTATTAGTGTCTTCCTGTGTAAAAACCGAGAGAAAATAATTATTTAAAATCGAGCACATTTCATTCTCTTTGTCAGTAAGATGCCCATAGTTATTTTTAAGGGGACCTATCTCATCTCTGACTTTTATTCTATATACCTGGAAAAAACTTTTTGGGTTAGTTTTAGAATCCCTAGCAACTTTAATTTCATAGTCCCTTTTAGCTTTTCTTATCCCCTTTTTAATGTCCCTCTTAATGTCAATATACTGATTCATAAGATGACCCTCACCTCTTTTGATACGCCTATAAATTCCTTTCTTATGCCCTAGTAGATATTTCAGTCTATTATTCATCCATTTTGGGTCATTTATATTTGATCTAATTTCTTTATAAGGGATAAACGTTCTTTGAGCAGCATGTATTGTGTTCAGAAAACTGTCATATTGATAGCTCTCTTCGTTACCCCAGTCAACAGATGATAAGTGTTCTCTAAGCCCATCGTAATCTGCTAAGCGAAAATCTGGGACTGTTACTGAGTTATCCCTACTATCATACTTCCATTCAATTCTAAATGTAATTGATTTGTGGTCGCTAGCACCCAGTTCCTCTGAAACTTCTAAATTATTAACAAGGGATTCATTGTTTGCCAGAACTAAGTCAAGCAGGTTATTTCCCCTTGTAGGTTCTGTCACAAACTGCTTCAAAAAACAATCCTGAACTACTTCTAAGAAGTCGTATGATTCTAAATTCCCAGTCAAGAAATTCCAATCAATATGACTAAAGTTAAAGTCTCCTAGAATTACTACATTATCGTGCCTTGTGGCCCTAACAATTTCCTCCCATAGTAGTCTCCCCTGGTCCCTATCTAAATTTGGGGGACGGTATATCACACCTAAAATTAATTTTTCATTCCCCTCTGAAAATTCTATCCAAACAGACTCTGTATGTGTTCTTATGTTCTTATGTGTCTCTGTGTATACACACTGATAGATGGATGTGTCTCTGTGTATACACACTGATAGATGGATGTGTCTGTGTATACACACTGATAGATGGATGTGTCTCTGTGTATACACACTGATAGATGGATGTGTCTGTGTATACACACTGATAGATGGATGTGTCTCTGTGTATACACACTGATAGATGGATGTGTCTCTGTGTATACACACTGATAGATGGATGTGTCTCTGTGTATACACACTGATAGATGGATGTGTCTCTGTGTATACACACTGATAGATGGATGTGTCTCAATGTATACATAGTGGGAGCTTAATTCGTCTTTTGTCGTCAATATTAGTGTTTTTCACCAGAGGTGAGCAGGTAGCATGCAGTCTTTATGACCGTCTCATGATGGATTGATTCTCCACCCTAACAACCCAAGCCAAAGGTAAAGTACCTGTGTAATCTTGGTATCGTTGACGGTGCGGTTACCTTTGCACAATTTGCACTTGTCTGCCTCTGCTATAGTCCTGCCGGAGCCTCCACAGGCAGTACAAGTACCGTGCATCTCCACTAGTCCTGGTCCTAGCTGCTGGTACGTCAGCTGTGGGTACAAGATATCACAACATAAGAAGGGAGGAACACTGCAGCAGGCCTACTGACCTATGTAATAATGTTGGTAGAATTACTCAGTTTGAGAAAGACCTACCTAGCATGGGCTAGTAAGTTAGGAAAAACGTAAAAACTTGAGAGAGCGAAACGTTGCCACAGAAAAACGTCGCTTTAGTTCCACGTGTGTCTCTTTACCTAACCTACTGGCCCATGCTAGGGAGGTCTGATTCAAACCCAAGCCCACTTACAAAAATATTCGTGTAGGTAGCGTGTCATAACATGTGAGAGTTTGTGAATGAGACACTAGTGCAAAGTTGGGAATTTTTTTTGGAAGAAATGTTTGGATAGCCAGTGGCTCCTTCAGTCCAGTACGAAGAACAACAGTGGAAAATGAGGAGTTTGGGGTAATCAGTCCCTCAGCCTGGAATCGATGCAATCAGTCCATCAGTCTTGAAAAAAATGATGTACTGATTACATCGACTCCAGACTGAAGGACTGATTACTTCAAACTCCTTCTAATCTGCACAATACTTCTTCGTGTAGGACTGATGAAGCCATTGTGTTGCGAAACGTTTCTTTAATAAAAATACTCAAGTGTTGCACGTGTGTCTAAATTTACCGACTTGTTGGTTCTCTCAACCATTTAGCTACAAACCAGGTTGTTGCTGCTGGTGGCCCGCTGGTCCATATATCAATCACAGCCTGGTTGATCTGGTACCTGGTGAAGATACTTGTCCAGTTTCCTCTTGAAGGCTTCTACACTTGTTCCAGCAGTGTTTCTGATATCTACTGGTAAGATGTTGAATAATCTGGGGCCACGGATGTTGATACAGTGTTCTCTTATTGTGCCCACGGTGCCCCTGCTTTTTACTGGGCTTATTTTGCATTTCCTCCCATATCTCAGAGCCTATGGTCATTAAGGGCTTTTAGAATTATTTTAGAGGTTATTGAGGGATTGTGGGTGCTCGTAGAAGGAATCTAAAAGATGTTAAATGTCGTAGGATTGAAGGAGAGAAAATATACGAGTGAGAGGAGGGTTAGAAACGTTGTATGGTTAAGGTTAGTGAGTGTTGGATGTCACTCTTGTTACCTGGACCAACATACACCAGATGACCTCTCTTCTTGCTTCCATTTCCTGCTGTCACTCACTCCCTCTCTCCACTTTCTCACTCCCTGAGCCCCATGTCTTCCCTCCTAGACTTCCCTTCCTCCCTGTCTTCCCTTCCTCCCTGTCTTCCCTTCCTTCCTGCCTCCCTGTCTTTCATTTCTCCCTGCCTCCTTCCTTGTCTCCCTCCCTGCCTTCTGACTCGTTCCTGCCTCTCTCACTGCCTTCTGACTCGTTCCTGCCTCTCTCACTGCCTTTTAACTCGTTCCTCCCTCTCTCACTGCCTTCTGACTCGTTCCTGCCTCTCTCACTGCCTTCTAACTCGTTCCTCCCTCTCTCACTGCCTTCTAACTCGTTCCTCCCTCTCTCACTGCCTTCTGACTCGTTCCTGCCTCTCTCACTGCCTTCTAACTCGTTCCTCCCTCTCTCACTGCCTTCTAACTCGTTCCTCCCTCTCTCACTGCCTTCTAACTCGTCCCTCCCTCTTTCACTTCCTTCTAACTCGTTCCTCCCTCTCTCACTGCCTTCTGACTCGTTCCTCCCTCCCTCACTGCCTTCTAACTTGTTCCTCCCTCTCTCACTGCCTTCTAACTCGTTCCTCCCTCTCTCACTGCCTTCTAACTTCTTCCTCCCTCTCTCACTGCCTTCTAACTCGTTCCTCCCTCTCTCACTACCTTCTAACTCGTTCATCCCTCTCTCACTGCCTTCTAACTCGTTCCTGCCTCCCTCACTGCCTTCTAATTCGTTCCTGCCTCTCTCACTGCCTTCTAACTCGTTCCCCCCTCTCTCACTGCCTTCTAACGCGTTCCTGCCTCCCTCACTGCCTTCTAACTTGTTCCTCCCTCCCTCACTGCCTTCTAACTCGTTCCTCCCTCCCTCACTGCCTTCTAACTCATTCCTGCCTCTCTCACTGCCTTCTAACTCGTTCCTCCCTCCCTCACTGCCTTCTAACTCGTTCCCGCCTGCCTTCCTTGCCTCTCCCTGCTTGTCTCTCTCACCTTGATACCCTTGCCATGACAGGTGTTGCAGGTCTGTGTGAAGGCGTCTACCCTGCCACCCCTGCCGTCACAGGCACCGCAGGGCCGCCTACGGTCCAGCTTAAGCTTCCTCCTGCCGCCAATCATAAGCTGTTCCAGCGACACCACTAGGCGGTGTTCCATGGGCGGCGGCTTCCTGCTGCCGCCCATACCGCCGCCCTTACCGAAGAAGCTAAAGCCGCTGTCACCATCCTCATCCTCGTCCTCGTACTCTCCACCTCCACCAAAGAACATGTTGAAGATATCCATGGGATTCCTGAAGCCTCCGCCAGCACCGCCACTCTGCAACACCAGACTCAAATAAGCACTTACCAGTAAGTCACCCTCAAATACACTGTCTTGAATCTTAGTAACATGACAACAAAGATAACTATCTTTATTTCTACAAGTACATGTACGAGGTATTCAGACCATAGCTGACATCAATGACATACTACTATACAGAAAGCCGCTTCTTATGCAGATCATTTCGGGCAAATTAAATCAGTTTTGTCGCAGGATGCGACCCACACCAGTCGACTAACATCCCAGTCGGCTAGCTACCAGGCCACAGACCACCGTGGTACAGGTGGAGTTGTGAATGATACATCTGTGGGACGTAACACTGGCCTGTAGTAACATCACAACACTGACCTGCGGTAACATCACAACACTGACCTGTAGTAACATCACAACACTGACCTGCAGTAACATCACAACACTGACCTGTAGTAACATCACAATAATGACCTGCGGTAACATCACAACACTGACCTGTAGTAACATCACAACACTGACCTGCAGTAACATCACAACACTGACCTGCAGTAACATCACAACACTGACCTGCAGTAACATCACAACACTGACCTGTAGTAACATCACAACACTGACCTGCAGTAACATCACAACACTGATCTGCAGTAACATCACAACACTGACCTGCAAGGCCTCCTCTCCTCCCTCATCATAAATCTTCCTCTTCTTAGTGTTAGACAACACCTCGTAGGCCTGGGAGATCTGTTTGAACTTCTCCCCACCCTGTGGATTCTTGTCAGGATGGTACTTAAGAGCCAGTTTCCTGTAGGCTGATTTCAGTTGGTCAGCTGTAGCTTCAGGGCTCACACCCAGCCTGTCGTAGTACTCTGTCTCCTTGACCATTGTATCTGAAACAACAGTAGAGTAAGATTTTGATAAAACACACGTGCAAGAGTTAGATATCTTTATTTCGAAACGTTTCACCTACACAATGGGCTTCTTCAGTTTAGTACACAAGAGTTATCAGTCCCTCAGCCTGGAGAAGAGTTATGTTACATAGTCTGGAACAGTGTGAAGTTGAAGCGACGGTGTGGAGACCAGAGGGCCAGTCCACTGGACTACACCTCACCTTCCGCCAGTGTGTGGAGACCAGAGGGTCAGTCCAATGGACTACACCTCACCTTCCGCCAGTGTGTGGAGACCAGAGGGTCAGTCCACTGGACTACACCTCACCTTCCGCCAGTGTGTGGAGACCAGAGGGTCAGTCCAATGGACTACACCTCACCTTCCGCCAGTTGTGTGAGACCAGAGGGTCAGTCCACTGGACTACACCTCACCTTCCGCCAGTGTGTGGAGACCAGAGGGCCAGTCCACTGGACTACACCTCACCTTCCGCCAGTGTGTGGAGACCAGAGGGTCAGTCCACTGGACTACACCTCACCTTCCGCCAGTGTGTGGAGACCAGAGGGTCAGTCCACTGGACTACACCTCACCTTCCGCCAGTGTGTGGAGACCAGAGGGTCAGTCCACTGGACTACACCTCACCTTCCGCCAGTGTGTGGAGACCAGAGGGTCAGTCCACTGGACTACACCTCACCTTCCGCCAGTGTGTGGAGACCAGAGGGCCAGTCCACTGGACTACACCTCACCTTCCGCCAGTGTGTGGAGACCAGAGGGTCCAGTCCACTGGACTACACCTCACCTTCCGCCAGTGTGTGGAGAACAGAGGGTCAGTCCACTGGACTACACCTCACCTTCCGCCAGTGTGTGGAGACCAGAGGGTCAGTCCACTGGACTACACCTCACCTTCCGCCAGTGTGTGGAGACCAGAGGGTCAGTCCACTGGACTACACCTCACCTTCCGCCAGTGTGTGGAGACCAGAGGGTCAGTCCACTGGACTACAACCTCACCTTCCGCCAGTGTGTGGAGACCAGAGGGTCAGTCCACTGGACTACACCTCACCTTCCGCCAGTGTGTGGAGACCAGAGGGTCAGTCCACTGGACTACACCTCACCTTCCGCCAGTGTGTGGAGACCAGAGGGTCAGTCCACTGGACTACACCTCACCTCCGCCCAGTGTGTGGAGACCAGAGGGTCAGTCCACTGGACTACACCTCACCTTCGCCAGTGTGTGGAGACCAGAGGGTCAGTCCACTGGACTACACCTCACCTTCCGCCAGTGTGTGGAGACCAGAGGGTCAGTCCACTGGACTACACCTCACCTTCGCCAGTGTGTGGAGACCAGAGGGTCAGTCCACTGGACTACACCTCACCTTCCGCCAGTGTGTGGAGACCAGAGGGTCAGTCCACTGGACTACACCTCACCTTCCGCCAGTGTGTGGAGACCAGAGGGTCAGTCCACTGGACTACACCTCACCTTCCGCCAGTGTGTGGAGGACCAGAGGGTCAGTCCACTGGACTACACCTCACCTTCCGCCAGTGTGTGGAGACCAGAGGGTCAGTCCACTGGACTACACCTCACCTTCCGCCAGTGTTGTGGAGACCAGAGGGTCAGTCCACTGGACTACACCTCACCTTCCGCCAGTGTGTGGAGACCAGAGGGTCAGTCCACTGGACTACACCTCACCTTCCGCCAGTGTGTGGAGACCAGAGGGTCAGTCCACTGGACTACACCTCACCTTCCGCCAGTGTGTGGAGACCAGAGGGTCAATCCACTGGACTACACCTCACCTTCCGCCAGTGTGTGGAGACCAGAGGGTCAGTCACTGGACTACACCCTCACCTTCCGCCAGTGTGTGGAGACCAGAGGGTCAGTCCACTGGACTACACCTCACCTCCGCCAGTGTGTGGAGACCAGAGGGTCAGTCCACTGGACTACACCTCACCTTCCGCCAGTGTGTGGAGACCAGAGGGTCAGTCCACTGGACTACACCTCACCTTCCGCCAGTGTGTGGAGACCAGAGGGCCAGTCCACTGGACTACACCTCACCTTCCGCCAGTGTGTGGAGACCAGAGGCCAGTCCACTGGACTACACCTCACCTTCCGCCAGTGTGTGGAGACCAGAGGGTCAGTCCACTGGACTACACCTCACCTTCCGCCAGTGTGTGGAGACCAGAGGGCCAGTCCACTGGACTACACCTCACCTTCCGCCAGTGTGTGGAGACCAGAGGGTCAGTCCACTGGACTACACCTCACCTATCCGCCAGTGTGTGGAGACCAAGGGCCAGTCCACTGGACTACACCTCACCTTCCGCCAGTGTGTGGAGACCAGAGGGTCAGTCCACTGACTTACACCTCACCTTCCGCCAGTGTGTGGAGAACCAGAGGGCCAGTCCACTGAACTACAACCTCACCTTCCGCTCAGTGTGTGGAGACCAGAGGGTCAGTCCACTGGACTACACTCACCTTCCGCCAGTGTGTGGAGACCAGAGGGCCAGTCCACTGGACTACACCTCACCTTCCGCCAGTGTGTGGAGACCAGAGGGCCAGTCCACTGGACTACACCTCACCTTCCGCCAGTGTGTGGAGACCAGAGGGCCAGTCCACTGGACTACACCTCACCTTCCGCCAGTGTGTGGAGACCAGAGGGCCAGTCCACTGGACTACACCTCACCTTCCGCCAGTGTGTGGAGACCAGAGGGCCAGTCCACTGGACTACACCTCACCTTCCGCCAGTGTGTGGAGACCATGAGGGTCAGTCCACTGGACTACACCTCACCTTCCGCCAGTGTGTGGAGCCAGAGGGTCAGTCCACTGGACTACACCTCACCTTCCGCCAGTGTGTGGAGACCAGAGGGTCAGTCCACTGGACTACACCTCACCTTCCGCCAGTGTGTGGAGACCAGAGGGTCAGTCCACTGGACTACACCTCACCTTCCGCCAGTGTGTGGAGACCAGAGGGTCAGTCCACTGGACTACACCTCACCTTCCGCCAGTGTGTGGAGACCAGAGGGTCAGTCCACTGGACTACACCTCACCTTCCGCCAGTGTGTGGAGACCAGAGGGTCAGTCCACTGGACTACACCTCACCTTCGCCAGTGTGTGGGAGACCAGAGGGTCAGTCCACTGGACTACACCTCACCTTCCGCCAGTGTGTGGAGACCAGAGGGTCAGTCCACTGGACTACACCTCACCTTCCGCCAGTATATATGTCTCCACACTGCCGCTTCACCTTCGCAAGTTCCAGACTGTGAAACAAAACTCTTCTCCAGGCTGAGGGACTGACCACCTCTGATAACTCCTCTGTACTCGATGAACATTAACTTCGACAACCTCTACTAGTGAGAACGGCTGGGTTTGAGAGGGACCTGCCCTCCCAAATCAACCTACGTCTCACCTCCTGGCACTATATAAGGCCCGATTCTGTCACTTCAACTTCATATTGTTTCAGACAACGGAACAATGCTCTTCTCCAGACTGAGGGACTGACCACCTCAAAACTTTAAGGGTGATGGACTGATTACATCGTCTTCATGTATCTTCTGCTTCTATCAACTTTTCTGTACTCGACTGAAGAAGCCTACTGTGTAGGCGAAACGTTTCAAAATAAAGATACCTAACTGTTGCATGTGTGTCTTACCTAACTATCCTCTGTACTCGACTGACGAAGCCTACTGTGTAGGCGAAACGTTTCGGAATAAAGATACCTAACTGTATCACATGTCTTACTTATCAACCTGACGGTACTGTATTCCATTTTTGTATTCAAAATTAGATTTTGTTGGGATTTTTAACCCCGGAGGGTTAGCCATCCAGGATAACCCAAGAAAGTCAGTGCGTCACCGAGGACTGTCTAACTTATTTCCATTGTGGTCCTTCAGTCTTGCCCCCCAGGATGCCACCCACACCAGTCCACTAACACCCAGGTACCTACTTGCTTCCTATGTGAACAGGGACAGTAAGTGTAAGGAAAAAAGTCCAATGTTTCCACCTCTGCCGGGGATCGAACCACGGACACTCAGTGTGTGAAGCGAGAGCGTTTCCAACCAGGCCACGGGACATAACCACGTTACTGTAGCCGCCGTGTTCAAAGAACAGTTATATCACATTTATGGTGTAATAACCGACAAGTTAAATAAGATGTACAACACCTGGGTGTCTTTATTGATGAATAAGACACATGTGCAACACCTGGGTGTCTTTATTGATGAATAAGACACATGTACAACACCTGGGTGTCTTTATTGATGAATAAGACACATGTGCAACACCTGGGTGTCTTTATTGATGAATAAGACACATGTGCAACACCTGGGTGTCTTTATTGATGAATAAGAAACATGTGCAACACCTGGGTGTCTTTATTGATGAATAAGACATATGTGCAACACCTGGGTGTCTTTATTGATGAATAAGACATATGTGCAACACCTGGGTGTCTTTATTGATGAATAAGACATATGTGCAACACCTGGGTGTCTTTATTGATGAATAAGACATATGTGCAACACCTGGGTGTCTTTATTGATGAATAAGACATATGTGCAACACCTGGGTGTCTTTATTGATGAATAAGACATATGTGCAACACCTGGGTGTCTTTATTGATGAATAAGACATATGTGCAACACCTGGGTGTCTTTATTGATGAATAAAACACATGTGCAACACCTGGGTGTCTTTATTGATGAATAAAACACATGTGCAACACCTGGGTGTCTTTATTGATGAATAAGAAACATGTGCAACACCTGGGTGTCTTTATTGATGAATAAGACATATGTGCAACACCTGGGTGTCTTTAGTTGAAGAAATTTCGCCAACTAGTGACATTTTAAGTCTAATATTGATATTAGATGGTAATCAGAACTACAGAGAAGACAGTGGAAGCTAAGGTAATCAGTCCCTCAACCTAGAAACAAATGTTCAGTACCTTAATTTTGATGAATCAAGGTCCCAGGAGCTTTACAAGTGCCTTACCATAAAAATATAAGAATGGAGGAACATTGCAGTAGGCCTACTGACTCATGCTAAAGGCTTACTACAGTAAGCCTGCTGTCCTATGCTAGACAAGTCTTACTTCAGTAGGCCTACTGGCTCATGAAGTAGGCCTACTAAGCCATAATACGAAGGTTCAACTCACACCCAACTTTTCTCCTTGATATACCCGGGTTTTGATATACCTGGTTTATAACTTAATATACCTGGGTTATACCTTCATATACCTGGGTTATAACTTAATATACCTGGGTTATAACTTAATATACCTGGTTTATAACTTAATATACCTGGGTTATACCTTCATATACCTGGGCTATAACTTAATATACCTGGGTTATAACTTAATATACCTGGGTTATAACTTAATATACCTGGGTTATAACTTAATATACCTGGGTTATACCTTCATATAAATGGGCTATAACTTAATATACCTGGGTTATACCTTCATATACCTGGGCTATAACTTAATATACCTGGGTTATACCTTCATATACCTGGGTTATACCTTCATATACCTGGGCTATAACTTAATATACCTGGGTTATACCTTCATATACCTGGGCTATAACTTAATATACCTGGGTTATACCTTCATATACCTGGGTTATACCTTCATATACCTGGGCTATAACTTAATATACCTGGGTTTTAACTGTAGCAACACACAAAACCGGTTTTCCAAACGAGTGGTCACAAAACACTTCACTTCATTACACTAGTACTGTGGTGGTAGACGTGTGTGTGTCACTTCTGGTGTGCTGGTGCACTTAATAGCACTGACTGGCGTCTAGACGGTGCCAGAAGACTCTGCAGGTGCCACGGGGCGCCTGCTGCCCGTGCCAGTGTTGTCACCCGCAGCCACACACAACAGCTTGACACTTGCTAAAGGTAGCGAGGTCTGGTCGGGCGTAAATCCCTTTGTAACTTTTTCCCAGAAGGTTAGAAGATTTTAAATGATTATTTTGCCAGTGAGTCGTAAAAAATAATGTCTATATTGTTTTGCCGGAGTATTGGTAAGATAAGATTTCGTTCGGATTTTTAACCCCGGAGGGTTAGCCACCCAGGATAACCCAAGAAAGTCAGTGCGTCATCGAGGACTGTCTAACTTATTTCCATTGGGGTCCTTAATCTTGTCCCCCAGGATGCGACCCACACCAGTCGACTAACACCCAGGTACCTATTTGCTGCTAGGTGAACAGGACAACAGGTGTAAGGAAACGTGTCGGAATGTTTCCACCCGCCGGGAATCGAACCCGGGCCCTCCGTGTGTGAAGCGGGAGCTTTAGCCACCAGGCCACCGGGCTGGTATTGGTATGATTGTAACCATTTATAGGAGTGTAGATGGTTCATTACCTTTGTAAGTTGTCATAATTGTGACCAGATCTACCTGGAGTTCATTACCTTAGTAACTAGTTCAGCTATCATAACTTTGGAGTCCAGTCCCTGGACCCATTATGTACCTCTGTAATCTTTTGACTACCACCCACAGGATGGGTATGGTGTGACAACTACCCACAGGATGGGTATGGGGTGACTACTACCCACAGGATGGGTATGGTGTGACAACTACCCACAGGATGGGTATGGTGTGACAACTACCCACAGGATGGGTATGGGGTGACTACTACCCACAGGATGGGTATGGGGTGACTACTACACACAGGATGGGTATGGGGTGACTACTACCCACAGGATGGGTATGGTGTGACAACTACCCACAGGATGGGTATGGGGTGACAACTACCCACAGGATGGGTATGGGGTGACTACTACCCACAGGATGGGTATGGGGTGACTACCACCCACAGGATGGGATATGGTGGTGACAACTACCCACAGGATGGGTATGGGGTGACTACTACCCACAGGATGGGTATGGTGTGACAACTACCCACAGGATGGGTATGGTGTGACAACTACCCACAGGATGGGTATGGGTGACAACTACCCACAGATGGGTATGGTGTAAACACTACCCACAGGATGGGTAATGGGGTTGACTACTACCCACAGGATGGGTATGGTGTGGACAACTACCCACAGGATGGGTATGGTGTGACAACTACCCACAGGATGGGTATGGTGTGACAACTACCCACAGATGGGTATGGGGTGACTACTACCCACAGGATGGGTATGGGGTGACTACTACCCACAGGATGGGTATGGTGTGACAACTACCCACAGGATGGGTATGGTGTGACAACTACCCACAGGATGGGTATGGGGTGACTACTACCCACAGGATGGGTATGGGGTGACTACCACCCACAGGATGGGTATGGTGTGACAACTACCCACAGGATGGGTATGGGGTGACTACTACCCACAGGATGGGTATGGGGTGACTACTACCCACAGGATGGGTATGGGGTGACTACTACCCACAGATGGGTATGGGTGTGACTACTACCCACAGGATGGGTATGGGGTGACTACTACCCACAGGATGGGTATGGGGTGACTACTACCCACAGGATGGGTATGGGGTGACAACTACCCACAGGATGGGTATGGGGTGACTACTACCCACAGGATGGGTATGGGGTGACTACCACCCACAGATGGGTATGTGTGTGACAACTACCCACAGGATGGGTATGGGGTGACTACTACCCACAGGATGGGTATGGTGTGACAACTACCCACAGGATGGGTATGGTGTGACAACTACCCACAGGATGGGTATGGGGTGACAACTACCCACAGGATGGGTATGGTGTGACAACTACCCACAGGATGGGTATGGGGTGACTACTACCCACAGGATGGGTATGGTGTGACAACTACCCACAGGATGGGTAATGTGGTGACAACTACCCACAGGATGGGTATGGGGTGACTACTACCCACAGGATGGGTATGGGGTGACTACTACCCACAGGATGGGTATGGTGTGACAACTACCCACAGGATGGGTATGGTGTGACAACTACCCACAGGATGGGTATGGGGTGACAACTACCCACAGGATGGGTATGGGTGACTACTACCCACAGGATGGGTATGGTGTGACAACTACCCACAGGATGGGTAAGGGTGACTACTACCCACAGGATGGGTATGGGGTGACTACTACCCACAGGATGGGTATGGTGTGACAACTACCCACAGGATGGGTATGGTGTGACAACTACCCACAGGATGGGTATGGGGTGACAACTACCCACAGGATGGGTATGGGGTGACTACTACCCACAGGATGGGTATGGGGTGACTACTACCCACAGGATGGGTATGGGGTGACTACTACCCACAGGATGGGTATGGTGTGACAACTACCCACAGGATGGGTATGGTGTGACAACTACCCACAGGATGGGTATGGTGTGACAACTACCCACAGGATGGGTATGGGGTGACTACTACCCACAGGATGGGTATGGGGTGACTACTACCCACAGGATGGGTATGGGGTGACAACTACCCACAGGATGGGTATGGTGTGACAACTACCCACAGGAGGGTATGGTGTGACAACTACCCACAGATGGTATGGTGTGACAACTACCCACAGGATGGGTATGGTGTGACAACTACCCACAGGATGGGTATGGGTGACTACTACCACACAGGATAGGTATGGGTGACAACTACCCACAGGATGGGTATGGTGTGACAACTACCCACAGGATGGTATGGTGTGACTACTACCCACAGGATGGGTATGGGTGACAACTACCCCAGGATGGGTATGGGTGTGACAACTACCCACAGGATGGTATGGTGTGACAACTACCCACAGGATGGGTATGGTGTGACTAACTACACCACAGGATGGGTATGGTGTGACAACTACTCACAGTATGTGTCAACTACACAGATGGTATGTGGACAACTAACCCACAGGATGGGTATGGTGTGACTACTACCCACAGGATGGGTATGGGGTGACTACTACACACAGGATGGGTATGGGGTGACAACTACCCACAGGATGGGTATGGGGTGACTACTACCCACAGGATGGGTATGGTGTGACTACTACCCACAGGATGGGTATGGGGTGACTACTACACACAGGATGGTATGGGTACAACTACCCACAGGATGGTATGGGGTGACTACTACCCACAGGATGGGTATGGTGTGACAACTACCCACAGGATGGGTATGGGATACATAATAAAAGTATTAAATTAACAGACAACAATACTGCTTCACATTTCTTTACTTCATCCAGAAGAAATTCACCAGTGACATGACTTGTTTCTTTCAGCTTCATTTTCAACAACACTGGAAGGGTTATTACAGGCATAAAACAATCCCAATGGAAATAAGTTACTCTGTCTGACTTTTTTGTGTTATCCCAGGTTCTCTACACATATGCTGCTATGTATGATAATTCTATGTAACTGTATTTGTGTATACCTGAATAAACTTACTTACTTACTTACTTACTTACTTACTTACTTACTTAGGGCTCTTTTTTATTCAGTAATTTTATGGGTAAATATGATTATTTTCTGTAGCTTAAAATAATTTTTACATGAAAGCTGAAGAGTTTTGGTCGCTGCTTCCTGTGTACCGTCACCAAACTGGGGTTAATAACATTTATAATATATAAAATTAGGCACTTTTACTTCAAATTAAATTAAGATCGTTGGAAAATCGAATTTTCCCCGAAGTTCTTAGAAGGAAAAAAAAAACGTAAAAATAATGGAACATATTCCAGCAAGTTGACAGTGACAGGACAAGCTGCCCACAGTGTAACAAAGTGAATATGGGAAATAGAGTACATGTAAGTAGATAATTAGAGTCGTCAAGTAGAGACAATTTACAGAAAGGAACTCTATGGAGATGTTTTAACTATGCAACAGGGATTCTTCAGTCATTTAAAAAGCTTGTTTCACAGGTCAAATATCTAGGTAAACTTCCTTTCTACAACTGTTTGTTCTTCCTCCATAGAAGAAGAGAGTGCAGAGAGTTTAGAAGTTGAGGGTCACAGATACGAAGGGCAGAGATAAAACGAAAAATAAGAAGACTTATCTTGACTGAGGAAGCATGGTCAGAGACTAGTGAATGATCAAGCCACTGTGTATAGGCTAGCAATACAAGGAAACAGAAAAGCCTGTAGCTGAGCGATGGACATGTACTTCCAGAGAAGGAAGCAACGTTACTCCTATTTAGCTTTGAACTTGATGGTACGATCAAGATGGTTAAATGTATCAATAAAAGATTGGAAGAGACTAGAGTCGTGTGACCAAACAGCAGAGATATCTACAAAGCCAGAATTAAGGTCGCACAACAATAATGAGCAGAACAGTTAGGCTATGTAAATATCTTTGGTCCTTGGCCACCTGACTAGCCTCTTCCAAATTTGTCTTGATACCCTTAACAAGTGCACTCCTTATATCAAGTTCAAAGCTGAATGAGAATCTCTTTGCTTCCTTTCCTGGCGCTGTATAATCCTACGGGTTCAGTGCTTCCCCATGGCTATAATTAATAATAATAATAATAATAATAATAATAATATATATATATATATATATATATATATATATATATATATATATATTATATATATATATATAATATATATATATATATATATATATATATATATATATATATATATATATATATATATATATATTTTAACAAGTCGGCCGTCTCCCACCGAGGCAGGGTGACCCAAAAAAGAAAGAAAATCCCCAAATAAAATACTTTCATCATCATTCAACACTTTCACCACACTCGCACATTATCACTGTTTTTGCAGAGGTGCTCAGAATACAACAGTCTAGAAGCATACACATATAAAGATACACAACATATCCCTCCAAACTGCCAATATCCCAAACCCCTCCTTTAAAGTGCAGGCATTGTACTTCCCATTTCCAGGA